TGACAACAGATCACTGCTCTACAGCACCCTCTGGCGTCACATTTCTATAATGCTTTTTTAACGTTATAACTCACCAATGTAGATTAGTCCTCAGTCACCACTTGTCCTCTTTCTCTGAGCCTAATACACAAGGCTGTTGAAAGTGAGGCCAACTGCTTTTACTTCTCCTTATTTCTACAACCATCAATTCACTTACAAATGAAGTGGTGCAGGCAGCAACAGAAAGGAGGAGCCCAATGATACTGACTTCCAATAGTGACCTTGCATGCATCTTAATTGGTTGGTGACTGAACATTGGAGCATGAGATATGTGGGTCCAGGGGAATACAGGATGAGCTTTTATTTTCCCTAAGAGCCTGGTGGAACTGTGCTCCACAAAGCTGGTAACAGAGTTCAGATCAGGGAATGGAATCAGTAGGGGTGGACATCATCAATGAACAGTCAATGTGCAGTCAATGAATTAAGGGGACTAGGCTAGTCCCCTAAATTGTCCCCTGGTGCCTCTTCCCCAAACACCTAGGAAGCTTCTTCCCAGCTTAGGGAGGGAGGCACAATGCTCATACACACAACATCAGGACATCAAGCTGGCACCTCTGGCCCTAATAGTTCCCCTATGAATAACTTCATCACAAGCCACTGATGTATACCCCAGATAATGAGGTGAACAGGGAAGGTTGGGGGTAGTCTTTTACATTACTAAGTTGCACCATGTCATCAAGAAGATTAAGTTTGACTGTCATTTCATTGGCTGAATGAATGCTGTGTCCAAGGAATTATTGATTCTCATAATACTGAATCCATCATTGCCTTATTGAAGTACAGTGGTACCTTGGTTCTCGAACAGCCTAGTTCGTGAACAACTTAGAACCCAAACGTCGCAAACCTGCAAGTAAGTGTTGCGGTTCTCTCTCTCTCTCTTTTTTTTTTAAAGATGAACATGTTCTGAGTCCGGAGCTTCCATTTTTAGTGTTGTGCTTCCATTTTTTTTTTAGAGAGATCGTGCTGATTGGGGCAGTGGGGAGAAGCATTTTAGGGGTAGTTTTTCAACAGCCTGGAATGGATTAAACCGTTTTGCATTACTTTCTATGGGGAAGCATGCCTTTTCTTGGGACAATTGTCTGAAAAACACAGCAGTAGCTTCAGTATGTTACAAACAGCGACTGAGCTCCTTGCCATTTGAGAAGCCATAGCTGCTGCCATATGCATGCCAGAATAAAACACCACTGACACCAATGAGAACAGAGTCTAGTAAGTATCCTGATAGCAATAGCTAAGGGTGCCATCTATGTCATGATTTTAAAAAGGTAAAGGGACCCCCTGACCATTAGGTCCAGCCGTGGATGACTCTGGAGTTGCAGCGCTCATCTCGCCTTATTGGCCGAGGGAGCCGGCATACAGCTTCTGGGTCATGTGGCCAGCAGTGACTAAGCTGCTTCTGGCAAACCAGAGCAGTGCGCGAAAACACCATTTACCTTCCCGCCAGAGTGGTACCTATTTATCTACTTGCACTTTTACGTTCTTTCGAACTGCTAGGTTGGCAGGAGCAGGAACCGAGCAACAGGAGCTCACCCCATCGCGGGGATTCGAACCACTGACCTTCTGTTCGGCAAGCCCTAGGCTTTGTGATTTAACCCACAGCACCACCCGTGTCATGATTTTACATCCCCCCAAATGAAGGATATACATTTGCATGTGTTGCCAGTTAAGTGTCCTGAATGGCTGGAAATGTATTAGCTTAATGGTGTGAGTTGTTGTGTATGCGATGAACAACAATTATAGCTGTCTGATTTGAGCTATACTTGCTGCTCCTGATCCAGTGGGAGGGACGGTGGCTACATACCCACATTTCTGGAGACTCTCTGAAGCCATGACTTCACGATCTGCAGGGAACCTCTTGTTTCTGTAGCTGTGTGTCAGGAGCTACTGGAAACTGAGATAGGAATCTTTGGGTTTATGCACAGCAATCCAGTGTGGTGAGCCACTCAAAGTGGCTGTTGGGATGGGAAGGACTATTGGAAAGCTTCTCGTTCTAGTCACACTTTCCTTAAGATGGTGCATTCCTGGAGCCTTTGATTGCTGTACAGTCTAATTTTTGGGATGTCTTTTGGTCCTAATTTAACCCTAAGAGTGTGCATGTTCATCTAGCTCCAAATATTTGATTGGCCATTTGAAAAATAAAAACACTGTTTTTCTTTTGCATTATACCGAAAACAATAGTTTGAGAGCTTCCCAGTTCTTCTCCTCTTCTGGTAAACCTCTATCAGATAACCACAGGAATGTATATATTTTAACCAAAATCACAGCCAGTGGCAGATGTGTGACAAATTTTGAGGCAAAGGTTGTGCACACAACATATCATTAAAGCACATTCAACCCAAATTTCCCCCCTCAAAGAATTCTGGGCACTGTAGTTTGTAAAAGATTGCTGAGAGTTGTAATTCTGTGATGGGTAAACTACAGTACCCAGAATCCTTTGGGGGAAGAAATATGCTTTTAGTGTGCTTTAAAGGCATAGTGTGTATGCAACCATAGTAGTTGATTTATGTAGCAAAAGTAATTTCTTTTTGGGTAAAGGAAATAAAAATCATTTTTTCTTGCAGGATTAACAACCTCTTAAATAAGAATAGTTTTGAATGTGGTATTGACTTATTTGGGATTAGGATTAGCTCATACAGTTCATTTATATAAACCTTGAATGATAAATAATAATTCTTATCTTGGGAGTTTGGGGAATTTTCTTATCACTGTTTAAAAACCACCAGTTCATTGTACAATGTGCATCATTTTTCTTAAAAAAATATTATTAGTGTACATTATGCTTCAGTGCACTTAATTAAGTGGAATGATTATATGTGATGGGTAAAAGAACAAGAGGTGAATAGGGCATCTTAAGTTTATCATTTTGATGACAGGAGCTATTTTCTCATTCAGTGGGAGACAATCAGCATTAGACCCTGATGTAAATCACTTGTCAGTAGTCCTGGTGTTATGTGAATGTACAAATACTTTGGAGGGGAGATTACAGTTCAGCTCTAAGCTGTCTCTTGAACCAAAGTATTTATCGGAGTGTCTGGTGAGTGAGAAAGCAGCAGGAAAACATGCCATATTCTGTAAAAGAAAGCAAAGGGATGAGGGTGAGAAATGAGGGGAAACTGTGATTTCTGTGCTCTAGTTCAGGGATGGTCAATATTTTCAGGTTGCGGGAGAAGGTGGGCAGATCCTCTTTAGTCAAACTATTCCAGAACTGGAAGACATCTAGGGATGAAATCATCGCCTGCTTTCTGCAGGTTGATTGGACTGTGATCAGCGCACAGTTAAACAAATAAATAAATCCCAAAGGCCTGTCAAGCGTGCCACCTTTTCTTAGCTGATTATGTAATTACGGAATTGTAGAGTTGGAAGAGACACAAATGGTAACCTAGTCCAACTGCCTGCAATGCAGGAATCTCAGCTAAAGCATCCATGGCAGATGACAATCCAACCTATACTTCAAAACCTCCAAGGTAGGAGAGTCCACTACCTCTCATGGGAATCTGTTCCACTGTCAAACAGCTCTTCTTGCCATCAGAAAGTTCTTCCTGATGTTTAGTCATAATCTCCTTTGGTTCAGGTCCTAGCCTCCAGAGCAGGAGAAAACAAGCTTGCTCCATCCTCCATGTGACAGGCCTTTAGATCTTTGAAGATGGCTGTCATATCTTCTCTCAGTCTACTCTTTACCATGCTAAAGGTAAAGGTAAAGAGACCCCTGACCATTAGGTCCAGTCGTGGTCGACCCACAGCGCCACCTGCGTCCCTATAATAAGTTAGCATGCTAAGCATGCCCAAATCCTTTAACCCTTCCTCATAATGTTTGGTTTACAGACCCTTTATCAAAACTCCAGGAGGGCACCAGGTTGGTGAATACAATATTGAACTTAACAGAGACTGAACTAGTTTAAGGCGGTTTCCTTTCTACCATACCCACAATCTCTGGTCTCCTCTACAATCTAGTGATGTATATATTTCTCATGGAAAACAAAACAAAATACCATTCTATCTGACAAAATCAAAAGGAAGGGGGGGGGGAGAAAAAAGTTCTTCCCAACCTTGAGGTTGTGATCATGATCAGCTTTGGGGAAATTCGTCTTATACTACTTTGTTAGCTGTAATTCAAAAGCATGTAGGCACCTTCCTAAAATAGACCATTTCCCTTTATTCCTTTTGACTAAAACATCTGTGATCTGGAAATTTGCTAACTTTTTTGACCTTCATAGTTCACCCCTTGGAACAAAATTCTTGATTTATGAAATCTACTTTTACTTTTAAGAAGTCGCTATCCAAAAGATAATGTTGGGAAAGGATATTGAATTTTACTTCTTCTGTAGATAATAATGCTAACTGGAAGTATGCCAAGATGAAAGGAGAGAAAATCAAATGCTAATCATTTAAACCTAATGAGACGGCTAGCGTTAACTTATCTGTAATAATTTTTTTCCCCTTGCAGGTGAATTAGTTATACCGTGGTGCCAAAGACATATCCTGAGCTCTACATTTTTGGTACAGAACGATATCACAAAATTTCCATTCTTCTACCATTTACAGAGAAGGTTATTAATTAGGTAGCATGCCAAACTTTCAGCTGAATGTATCACATTCTTCATTTGATGAAAGCACATAGAACTTTAGCACTCGGATCATTCATTTTCATCCAGGCATCCACATCTGAAGCAGCTTTTTCCTGTACTGCAAAATGAACAATTCATACACCATGTGTAATTAAAGCAAACCATATGTTGCATTACTAGAATTATCTACAGCTGTAGCTTTGCTCTCAAGATTGTGTAATCCATCAGATGCAGAAAAAGATTAGTCATTAACTGCCATGCTGGATTTCTGAACAAAAAGGACCAAGATCTTGGACCTAGAAAATGGTCACTAATAAACTTCCTTACCCACGGAAGCAGACTTTAATGCAAAATACTGCAGAGAAGTATTATTCTCTTTTACAGCAAACTCAGGTGAAATGTGTTTGTGTGTATTTCTCTCTCTCTCTGTGTGTATGTGCATATATGTGTAGAGAGAGAGAGAGAGAAATACACACACACACACACACACACACACACAGCCCACCAACTACCTGTGAGGTTTCAGGATATATTAAGCTTGCCATATGTCTGGAAAATTCTGGACATGTATGGAAATCGGATGCCTAATATAGCAACCGGGGGGAATGTTTGAATTTTAAGAGATGTCCAGAATTTCCTGCATGTATGGCAACCCAGGTTTTTTTCTGTTTTCTGCTTTTTCTTTGTGTGTGTGTGTGTGTATGCCACCAAGGCTTTCTGTCCCACTTTGGCCACCACCAGCTTCCCTTTCAGCCCCGTCCTCCACTTCCTGGAGCATCCACTTGGCCCACTGCTCTGGCCCTGCCCGCCATTGCCACCGCTGCCTTTGGAGGGAAGAAAGAGTGATGGACGCACACAGGCATGGATGAGGAGAAGTGCTCTGTGGAGAGGGCCTACTCCGGCCATGGAGCACCTCCATTCCTCAGACGCCTCTCTTTCTGGGCTCCTGGGGCGGGTGGTGAGGGAATTGTCTCCCTTCCTTGAGGGACTCTTCGGTCCTTCTCCTACGGAGGTCTCTGGGTGTACTCTCCATCTTTGTACCCCCATCCGGCCTCTGGCATTGCTGTTCCAGTGAGGCCTTCATGCTCAGTCTCTTGAATGTGGGGTGGGGGCTGCCACCTTGGGCTGGGTGCGGGGCTCCACTGAGGCCAGGGCTGTATTCTGCTGCCCTTCTGGGCTCCCTTGCAGCAGCAGTAGGAGGAGGGAGTCGCCACCATCTCCACCCGTGTCAGTTTTTGAGGCAGGATATACGGTAAGTGTCAGCCCTATACGTCTGTATAACCAACAGGGTGGTGGGTGGGTCATCAGGCTATTCTTCCTCCTTGACTTCTTCCTCCCTGCCCAAGTAGCTCTCAGTGCTGCTCCCCTGTGCACAAGTATTCTGAACATGATGGTGTGGCTTCAGCTCCACTTCTAGCCCTACCCTTGGGGCAGGTGGATTAGGTGTCCCCAGTTCTCCTTCATACAACTTTGGGTAAAAAAACAACAACTTTGGGGGTGTCAAGAATTTTTGAAATATGGCAGGCGGACTGTGAGTGCCAATTTGAGTGGCCGCTGAGCCTATAAAGTTAAGAAAAGGAAGAGTAACAGCAGATGTTACTGGATATGAAACTTCCAGGTTCACACTGAATGTCAGAGACAGAAACTCCATGCTGCATGGGAAAGGGATAATATACTGCTACTCAACCACAGCCACACGGAAACCATAATGTCTCCCTTGCTTTCTATGGGCAGCTCTCGCTCCCACTTGGAGAAGGGAAATAAAGAGGGGGATCTAAAGGAACTAGAATTGGAGTAGACCGTGTGATTCTAACAATTGAGCCAGGGTTGAGAGCAATTGCAAACATTGAAAGTTAGAGTGCTGATTGAAAACAAAGAAAAAGGGTAAATGGAATATGGGAAAGAAGGGATTTTCCTGCTCAAGCAACTCACGTATTACAGTGGTACCTCGGGTTAAGTACTTAAATCGTTCCAGAGGTCCGTACTTAACCTGAAACTGTTCTTAACCTGATTTAGCTAATGGGGCCTCCTGCTGCCGCCACGCTGCTGGAGCCCGATTTCTGTTCTTATCCTGAAGCAAAGTTCTTAACCTGAAGCACTATTTCTGCGTTAGCGGAGTGTGTAACCTGAAGCGTATGTAACCTGAAGTGTATGTAACCCGAGGTACCACTGTAAAATAATTTAAGAAGCTTCCAGGAAGAGGGAAGAAACGTGAAGGGATTTATACCATAAATAAAAGAAGGGGGAGACCCTTTCCCTTCTTTTTCCTCCATATAGCAGGAGTGGGAAACCTTCTGAGGGTAACATGTCAGTGGTAGTTGGGACCAGAGGAAAAGGTAGCATGAACAACAAAGAAACACTTTACCTTTGTATGGTAGGCTAGTTTCTATACAACCATCCCTCTCTATTCTCCATCCAGACAAGCAAAAGGCATTAACAGAAATGTTCCAGGCAGGCAAAAAAAAAAAACCCCACTAGTGGTGTGAAGCAAGACTACCGAATTTTTCTCATTGCTTCCTTTGTCATGTGAAGGGCCCCCATCATTTAATCACTGACACTGAGGCCACAATCCTAAGAACATATACAGAAACTCCTCTGTCCCATTGAGCATAGCAGGGTATAGTGCCAAGTAGACATGTGTAGCAAGTGAAATACCTTATTTACGTGACTCTAATGTGCCATTGAGTCTAATGTACACCTCAACTTTCAAAACCTTGAAACAAAAAAAAGTATTTGCTATGTCAGTGATGTTTTTCAAGTTTGCAATTGAATCTAATGCACCATCAAATCTAATGTGCACCCTAATTTCCGCAACGTAATTTGGCCCAAAATGGTGTGCATTACATTCAAGTAAATACGGTAGTCAGACACAGGCAGAATGGTTAAATTTAGCAGCTGATCCATTTGTTCATTTCTGTCACTGATTTACAGGAGGTAGTTAGGTGCTTAGATACTGTGTGGGATGTCTAGATGTCTCAACATCTAGACATTTTCATATGCAGAATACTGTCAACGAGCACCTTTGGATATAAGATATAGATAGTGTTCAATGATGGTGTTCTTTCTGTTGGAATGAAGCACTGAGGGATCTAACTGGGATGACTTTAAAAGAGGACTGGGGAAATTAATGGAAGATAAGGCTATTAATGGGACGCGGGTGGCGCTGTGGGTTAAACCACAGAGCCTAGGACTTGCCAATCAGAAGGTCAGCGGTTTGAATCCCTGTGACGGGGTGAGCTTCCGTTGCTTAGTCCCTGCTCTTGCTAACCTAGCAGTATGAAAGCACGTCAAAGTACGAGTACATAAATAGACACCGCTCCGGCGGGAAGGTAAACGGTGTTTCCGTGCACTGCTCTGGTTCGCCAAAAGTGGCTTAGTCATGCTGTACGCCAGCTCCCTTGACCAATAAAGCGAGATGAGCACCGCAACCCCAGAGTCGGTCACGACTAGACCTAATGGTCAGGGGTCCCTTTATCTTTTAAGGCTATTAATGTCTACTAGAAATGATGGGTATGTTTTCTTTCCATGGTCAGAGGCAGCAATGCTTCTGAGTATGCTGGAAGCAATACTGGAAGCCACAGGAAGGGACATTACCCTTGTATTTGAAACCTGCTTGTGGGTTTCCAGCAGGCATCTGGTTGGCCACTGTGAAAGCAGGATGTTGGACTATTGGGTCATCGACTTGATCCTGCAGGCTCTTCTTAAGTTCTGGTGATCCACTTTGAAGTCCCAATGTAGAGATAGCTATATGTGAGGAACTGCTTCCATTAATTCCAATGGAACTTAAATGCAACTTTCTCTTTTTAAGGCAACTTCCTGTAGCAGAGGTAGCCAATCTGGTGCCCTCCATATGTTGCTGCCCTCCAGAATCCATAGTTCTTGAGCACTGGCCATGCTTGCTGAGGCTGGTGATATTTGGAGCCCAAAAACAACTGGAAGGCACCACATTGACTACCCTTGCCCAGTAGTAATGGAGATCTGAGATGCACACACACCAATAAATTGATAAAGGTAGAATGGATTATTTGGATAAAAAATAATCCGTGCTCTTTTTCTAAGGTAGGATATTTTGGATCTGAAGCATCATTTTATACAGTAACAAGGATTACTCTGGGATTTATTAAGTAACTGGGATTCCATGTGAATGCTCATTTAAAGCAGCTTGAAAACTGAACTACCCCAAAAAACACATTCCTCTTTTTTTCCCTTGTGATGCCCTGTGGAGCAGAATAAAAATCCATCCTGATGTAGAATCTGGATTTAAGAAATACATGGAACTTTTATCTAACCGTATCAAAAAGGTAAGTCTCTCTGCTGTTCATCCACCTGGGCTTTCAATTGAGCACTTTCATATCTTCTAAGAAAATACAACAGCTCCAAATAGAAGTTAATTTCTTCCATGACATGCAGATATTTCAAAGAGGGAAAGTGTACCTAATGAAACCAAATCATCTGTTACAAATGACTTCCTTAAGAACTTAGCAACCAAGGACACTTTAAAGCAACTTCAGAAAATGATCTGTGCCAGGAATATCATTATGCATACAAAAATGCTTAAGTGCAGATAGATTAAGATGAAAATGTAATATCTATAAGGGCACATCCATATCCACAGCCTGGAGACTTCGTAGAAATCCAGAGGTCAAGGATAAAACTAGAGAAGAATGCATGTTACAAGATCTTAGCACTGAAGCCTCTTGGGAACAGATAGATGCTTGTGCAGGAGCTAATATTTCTATCATACATCTCCGTATATTCAATAAAAAACAACCCACAATCATCTGACATGTTATGCAGCCCTTTGATAGAATGGTAACGCACGATGCTGAATTGTGGGGTGTTTTCTCTCTCCACATATTGACATTTGCACTTTTGAAGTGATGGTGTTGTTTTTTCTTCATCATCAGAGCTTCCTCTCCTGCTAGGGTTGCCATATTCTCCAAAGTGAAAATCCAGACAAAGTTGTTGACTTTTTTTGGAGGGGGAGTTGTTGAACATTCTTGGGGGAACATCTCCCCTCGCCCAAAAAACAAATCACCCTAGTTTCCTGGGCATTTTGCCGATTTGGCGAAAAGCTGCCTGGATGCCATTATGATAGTCTGATTCCCAGATGTGTCTAGGAAAACTTGAACATATGGCAGCCCGAACTCCTGCAATGCTTTACAAAAATAGGATTCTAGTCATAGTTCATCACATTAAAAAAAACCACAGCCCTGTCATCATCACCACCATCAAAAGTAGTTTTAATATGAAATAGAACTTCATTATTAGTGTTATAAACTGGTTGTGCAAAACTACAAATCAATGTGATGTGGTATGTGAAGTGATGTCCGTTGTCCAAGCTTCAGAAAATTAAATCAACATGGATTAACGCAGAAAACCAGATTTATGTACTGATGCTGGATCATAGCTGCAGTCATCTAGGAAGTTCATGTACCATTAATGGTTGTGCAGTATATTATAGAGAAGTTCAGCAGCTGCAGCATTGCATT